GTGTGGGCTCAGCTGCACCCTCTATCCCTAGCAACTGACATCTGGGATGAGGAATGTGATCGTTAAACGTTGCTAAAAAGGCCAGGAAATGCGTGGGTTCAAATCTACAACTGCATGTGACAGAACACGTCTCCGGCAGCTGAGCGTGGTACCCTGGGAAGTGCCGGTGGGAACACGACCCGGAACACAGGTGGTTCACCTTTCGCCGCAGCAATGTGTTCTAGAAAGATTCACGCTAAGTCACAGGCAATGCAATCTAGACACTCTCATTTCTCCTTCTCTAGGATTTAAGTTTGCACCTCACCCTGTGAGCCACTGCATGGCCTGTCCCTAAGCGGAGGAAACCTGCCGGGGACAGGCTCCCCGGACCCTGCAGCCCAGCTGAGGCGGCGGTCTCTGTGCCAGCACATGCAGGAAACGGCTGCGCTGGGGTCACAAGACTGTAATGCTCATGAGAGAACAAGAATGCGGACCTGCTCTGCACCCGCCCCGGGAAAGCATAGCCTCTGCTGACACGAAGCATCAGAACAACCAACAGCAGGCCCACGTGAACAGGCCATGGTCAGCCAGCCACGTCTTCTAAAGAAAACAGAACAAAGTGGCATTTATGTTCGCAAAGGTAAGAAAGGTTCTCATTCCATATGTGACCAAAGTGCAAGATTCACAAATGCCAACTCCAGGCCACTTCCTCCCTCACAACTGTCAAAACCCAGCGGGAGAATCTGCAATGGGCCTCAGAAGAAGCCCTCTCCATGGTGAAAGGGCAAGGCAGCCACTCAAAGTGATAGCACTCAGGCCAGAACAGCTGTTCTCATGGGAACATGTGATCCATTTACAGGATCCAATGCTGGGATTTAGGCCAAGCAACAGCACTCAGGCCAGAACAGCTGTTCTGAAGAGAACATGTGATCCACTTACAGGATCCAATGCTGGGATTTAGGCCAAGCAACAGCACTCAGGCCAGAACAGCTGTTCTCAGGAGAACATGTGATCCACTTACAGGATCCAATGCTGGGATTTAGGCCAAGCAATAGCACTCAGGCCAGAATAGCTGTTCTCAGGAGAACGTGTGATCCACTTATAGGATCCAATGCTGGGATTTAGGTCAAGCAACAGACTCAGGCCAGAAAAGCTGTTCTGAAGAGAACATGTGATCCACTTACAGGATCCGATGCTGAGATTTAGGCCAAGCAACAGACTCAGGCCAGAACAGCTGTTCTCAGGAGAACGTGTGATCCACTTACAGGATCCAATGCTGGGATTTAGGCCAAGCAATTGCACTCAGGCCAGAACAGCTGTTCTGAAGAGAACATGTGATCCACTTACAGGATCCAATGCTGGGATTTAGGCCAAGCAACAGCACTCAGGCCAGAACAGCTGTTCTCAGGAGAACATGTGATCCACTTACAAGATCCAATGCTGGGATTTAGGCCAAGCAACAGACTCAGGCCAGAACAGCTGTTCTCATGGGAACATGTGATCCACTTACAGGATCCAATGCTGGGATTTAGACCAAGCAACAGCACTCAGGCCAGAACAGCTGTTCTCATGGGAACATGTGATCCACTTACAGAATCCAATGCTGGGATTTAGACCAAGCAACAGCACTCAGGCCAGAACAGCTGTTCTCATGGGAACATGCGATGCACTTACAGGATCCAACAGCAGGATTTAGGCCAGGTTCTAAAAATGATAAAATCCCCTTGACTGGGCTGGACTGAGGGACATGTTGCCCTCCATCATTTCGGTCATTAATTTGCACTTACATGTTACCGTCTGCCATTTAAACTTACCCAAATCAAGAATAAAAGTAAAACAGTGGCACAGATAGACACCTGAGGCAGCGGAAGGTCTCCGGTGCCCATTTCAGGCTCTGCATGAATCTGAGCATCGTGTGGGCATGGTGGCGTCTGCCCTCAGGACACTGCACATCCAATCTCATACCATGGTGGGGTGACCACTCAGTACAGGGCAAGCAAGTGCTGCCCAGCCTGACCCCACGGGCAGACTCGGCCCCTCCGTCCCGCACCCTGGCATCCATTCAACAAATACCTGCCCAACGTCCACTTTCCATGAGCAGGCAGCCAGGGCCTTGGGCGGTTTACATCCTACTGCAGGGAGTTGGGTGGAGACTGAGCACTGAGTAACCACCACCCAACTACACCTGTGGTGTTTCAGAGACAGGACACCAGGGAGATGGGAACCGGGACCACCTGACTCAGGGATTGGGAGAAATCCCTCAGGACCAGGGGTCAGGAAAGAAATCCCTCAGGACGCAGCATCCAAACTGAGCTTTCAACACCACCCGGACACGGCCTGTGGACTGTCTGATGAAGTGATCAGGGAAAATCCCTCAGGACCAGGGGTCAGGGAAGAAATCCCTCAGGATGCAGCATCCAAACTGAGCTTTCAACACCACCCAGACACGGCCTGTGGACTGTCTGATGAAGGGACTGGGGGAAATCCCTCAGGACCAGGGGTCAGGGAAGAAATCCCTCAGGACGCAGCATCCGAACTGAGCTTTCAACACCACCCAGACACGGCCTGTGGACTGTCTGACGAAGGGATCGGGGGAAATCCCTCAGGACGTAGTATCCGAACTTACCTTTCACCACCACCCGGACACGGCCAAATGTGCAGCCTGGGCAGAGTTCCCAGTGTAGACAGCAGCGTGGCCGCTGGGGAGCCCTGGCAGCAGGGAGTGAGGAGGAACTGAGAAAAGTCTGGGTTTGTGATCAGGGATTAGGGTCAACAGCCAGACAGCATAGCACGAGCCTGCAGGCCAGGGCGGCCATTGAGGTCTCAAGGGAAACAGTGTGGGGCTCAACTCTCACTGACCACAGGAGGCCACTCACACAACTACCCCACAGAGAGAGGCTGGGCCGTGCACACGGACCCCCTCACAGAATCCTTGGAACTGGTACTGGTCAAGCTGTCTGGCTGTTGGAGGAAAAGCAAGCAGGGCCTGGAGAGAATACTGGATCTGCATAAATCGCTCAAGACCAAGAAACGTTTCACGGACAATCACATAAGAAGTTGCTGTGAGAAAGAGGAACTGTATCTGAGTGAGGAAGATTTCACTGTTTACAACCACCACACTGAAATTTTACTACTTTAAATCTCCATGGTTTGTATTGTAAAAGCAGCGAGACTTGTTATCAAAGTCCACAGTGTCACTGAGCTATCCCTGAAGAGGGTGCCAGACAGTGGAGTCCATTTCCTATGTCTACCAGTTTAACTGGGCTGGCGCTGATGAGGGTGGGTCTGAACCGCAAAAGGGCAGGTGCCAAGTGGGCAGCTTCCCTAAACAGGGTCTTCTCCCTGAAAATGCTTCGGGCACACTCGCTGACCCTTTCACTGCACATATGATCCTCACATTTCTTCCTGGCTCCTGGCACTCTTTTCCTCAACTGGATTCAGGCACGCGCTCACTTCTGAGCCCTGACCAGGGGCCCCGATGCCGCTGCTGCCCTCCTGAGCCACTGGGACGCACCTGGCTGGCCTAGAGAATGGATTTAGGCCATTGTAAATCCCAATGCAGCTCATAACCCTGCATCCCAAACATCGTAGAAACACTTCTACAATACTTTCTGGAGAAATATGGATATAAGTGTTGGGGAGAAAAGGGTGGAAGTTAATCACAACACTCACTACTTCCCAGGGATAGTCCAACATGGTATATGCTCGCTCACACCAGCAGCATCTCCTGATGAGGGTTGGCAGGGGGACACAGGCTGGCTGGAGCCCCAGCCCACCTTCCTGAGTCCAGTGTCTGGGCCTGAATCAGGTGGCCTGGGCCATCCCTCCTCCTGCTTCCTCAAGTTTCCAGCAGATAAACTCTGAAATGGATCTCATGGCCAACACCCAGTGCTGTCACCTTCTCATCAGCTCCCCAACTTGCCCCTGAGGGTGCGAGGGCGTCAGCCAGGGGCTGGAGAGGAGGAAGGTGGTAGAGGCTGGGAAACAAGGCAGAGGTATCCTTTTCTGAGATCCCGATGGCCAATTTTAATAATAAAGTTTGCCTCTATGACTTGATTTTACCGATTTTTTTTTTAAGACAGGGTCTCACTCTGTCACCCAGGCTGGAATGCGGTGGCACAATCATAGCTCACTGCAGCCTTGACTCCTTGGACTCAAGAGATCCTCCTGCCTCAGCCTCCCGTACAGCTGGGATCACAGGCACACCACATCATGCCTGACTAACTTCTTCTTTTGCAGAGATGCGGACTCCCTTTTTTGTGCCCAGGCTGGTCTCAAACTCCTAGGCTCAAGCGATCCCCCTGCCTCAGTCTCCCAAAGTGCTGGATTACAGGCGTGAACCCCCGCGCCCGGCCTTGTACATGATTTTAAAACACCACATTTTGAAGTATAACCATGAACATGAATTTAAAAATTCAACCTCAATATGATTTTTTCATTCTATTGGAAAATGCATTGAACTCCCCTATTGTCTCACAAAATTCCTATATTCCAAATACTATCCACCAAAGTAATTTTGACCTTTGAACAGAATCCTTACCTCTAAGAACATACTCTAGGATTGACTGGTTTTTCTATTTCAACAACCCTAACTTGGCTCTTTGGGATGGAAATCTCAAAATTACTCCCTCTAGCAGATGACAGAGGCCAAGACTTAGCAGCTCACTCTTTAATGAGGTCTCTGACTGTAAGAAGACCAGTGACTCTAAGAGAAGCTTTATAATTTCTCATGCATTCTTCTTGTTTTTTAAGTGGTCCCCCAACTGAGAAAGTGGAATTATGAAAGCAACATTCTACCTTAACAGGAAACCCAGAACTGGGCCCTAACTCACAGGGACAGAGACAGCCTCTGGTGAGCTCTGGGCCTGCAGATTGCCCTGGCTGGAGCTCACTGGAGAATGAATGGGACCCTCAGGCTCAGGCCACGCCCTACGGGCCTATACAGGATGGCACTTGGAGGGTGGCCCCTTCTCAAATGTTGTCCCTGCTGTGGGGCTGGCTCTCAGCAAAGCAGCGCTCACCGAAACGAAAGTAAAACAGAGGCCGGTTCCCCGCGGTGCTGGCCGCCCGCTCCCGGGCCGCGGCTTCTCGGACGTCACACACCCCGATGTGAGCAGAGCGGAACGTTCTTCTCGGCGCTCCTTCACTGTGCTGCAGTCTACACCGAACCACGGCAGCTCCATTTGCTGCTGTAACAAGTTGAAAAAAAACTAATTAATTCAAACTTTAGTTTTTTTTAAATTTGTTACAGCGCTGAGCAGAGCTGCCGACCCCATGCAGAACAGCACACAGACCACCAAGGGGACCACACGGCGTGGCCACCCTCTGAGCCCAGCCGAGGCCGGGGCCACCGCGGGCACCGCAGCGCGCTGGAGAACCGTCCTGGGAAGTAGGGAACTGCTTCTGTTTCACTTTTGTTCGGCAAGGCACAAAAGTTAAAACCAACAGCGTCCGCAGCCTATGGTCAGCCCCCCACCCTTCCACAGGACATGAGGGTACCTGCAGAGGGGAGCTCACAGGGACAGGGCTGGGGCAGCTGTCACCACATGGCTCTGTGAGAAAAGAACGAGGGAGGGGGCGCAGGCCATCGGGGGATCCGCCCAGCACCACCTGAAGCCTCACGCCCCAGTATTTCCGCCAAGCCCTCTGCTTCCCTTCCCTCAGATTCCTCGGCATCTCTCACTGACTTAAGCCTCCGCTAAGCAAGGCCTACATGAACACATCCATCATTACAGCACTGTCTCAAAAATCCAGGTCAGAACAACGGGAAATGAAAACAAAACTACACATAGCAGATGCTCCACACTGAGCTTCCTGGAGTGCGAGCCCCAGGAAACTTTCCTTGCTGAGTCAACAGGACGCCGGACAGGCATCAGGGCCTCGAGAAAAACAGAACTGAGTTTTGCGCAGGTGTGGACACATGCATCCTTAAACCTTTTAAAACTTTGTTTCAACGATAAAAACTATGAAGTTCATTTTCCACCTTTAAAATTCATGTTGCTATTGTTTGTGTTTGAGGAAGAAACTGCTTGTATTAGCTTTAAGCCATTCCTCAAGCCTAGCAAATTGTCAAGGAAGGTCACTTTCCAGCTGACCTGAGCTTGCCTGGGAACTGAGGTGCTAGAATCCTAGTCTCATATGAGGTTCTTTCTCCTGAAATTTACAGAACCTGGCTCAAGTGCAGAGAAGCTCCAAGTCTGCACATGTAGAAACGCTGGCAGGGAAGCCATCACCATGTATGCTTACGACCACCTCCCAACACACGACAAACTTCCACGGTCTCAGAGTCCTAGGTGGGATATCGCAGGACTGTCTAGATTTGGCCTCCTCAGACAGCAACAAATGCCTTGGATTAAACCATAATCAATAGTAATAAATAACCCTCTAAACCAAGTATGTTGAAATCATAAATCATAAAGTGTATTTTTATGATTACAGCATTTTAAAGTAATCAACACAATATTGATCTGTACTTATACAGGACACACCTATTAAATTAGGCACATTATTAGAAAAATCCTATGTGCCTTAGACATTCCCACAGCATGTGTGATTGTCAAAGGAATTAGATGCCTGGCGCGTGAAGGCCAGGCGCCTTCTCCTGCAGACTCAGGAGTACAGAAACGTCTGCCTCCAGGCATTTCTCTGGCACGACGCATTGAACGCGCGAAACGAGATGACTCATGCTACTCATCAGGGTTACGTACTCGGAGGCTGCGGCAGGTAGGCTCCAATTAACTTTGACCTCTTCTTTTCATATCCTTTTTGTGTGATGTCACCTGCAAGAGAAGGAAAAAGAAGTTCAGCGTGGTCTCAGTGGACAGAGTTTATCATTCAGTGGCGCTCAAGAAGACACGGTCATCATGGTATCTTGTTTGCCTTATCATTGGAATATTAAAAACAAGCACTGCACACCATGTAATGTGACTTCCACCCCAGCTCTCGAACAAAAACCCACAGCATTTACATCACATAAAACTCCTATGTTAAACACACACCTGTTTCTGACCCCTTCCTGCTTGGTTTATCCGGCTGGGGTCCAGAATTAGACCCCGGCCACCTCATCGCCACGGGCTGCCACAGGAAGCCAACCCCGGCAGCGGGGGCAGTTGTTAACTCAATCGACAACTGATCCCGTGGCTGCCGGGGCCGGGATGGCCGACACCAGCACCAATCGGCATCTTCTTCATTAATGAGACATTTTCCAACAAGCCTGTCAGTCACAGGCACTTTAAAACCACCAGTGCTTTTAAAAAAATCAGTGATGAAGGCCAAGGGAAAAAGCCAAAGAACAAAGCCTGCAGAAACCCAGAGGAAGTGAGAAAGGTGCTGCAGTAAGGCAAGAATCCACACGTTAAATCCGACAGCTCGCAGACGGCAAGGGGGCGGCGCGGCAGCGGTGCCTTTCCGGGGCCAGCGCAGCCACAGGCCAGAGCCACCTCATCAACACACAGAGGCCTTTCCCAATCACAAGCTCCAGCGCACACCGAATACTCATTAGCTGCTCATGTTTTTGGAATCAGTTGTATTTTCTTCTGACGAAATCATCATTCCTAGAAGCGTTAAAAACTCAAGTTTTAATAAAAATAGAGCAAGCGAGTGAAATGTTATCACGATATACACATGAGCCAGTCAACCTGCTTTTCCTAGTGAAGGATGGGCACTGTTGGGGGGCAGCCTTTGCCTCTGCAGCCACCTTCACCAGCTCACTGAGGCTCACGACACAGGTTCCTGTCTCCCCACGGAACACAAGGCCAATGTCTGAACACAGAGCCACAAACAATACGACATGGAGTCCGTGTCCGCCCATCGATGAGTGTTCTCGAAGCTAGCTAGCTAGCTGGCCAGCACCAACAAAGGGTTGGTTTCTGCAGAAACATTAAAGCTGTGTGCGGCGTTACGCATGCTGGGCACTCCACGCCCGCAGCCACTGGCTGCCCACTGCAGAGACTGATTGGTCGCTTTAGGAAATGCCTTGTTAACCCATTTTACAAAGGATGTCCAACGTCGGAACCACAGAGGCAGCTGCGTGCACATGTGCTCTGGAGCTCAGGGACGAGTTCCTGCCTCAAATGCTGGCTGTGAAGTCAGTTTCACTCTTTTCTCCTATAGACTGCAACGCCTGTACCACCACCACCAGAGAGAAAAATATCTGGTTTTGAGGAAACATTATAAAAACAATCTGTAGAGGAAATAAGATGCCAGAAGCCTGGAAATTCTGTCCCAGCCCATCAATCACAGGAGACCTGGTTAACCGGTAGACATATCCCCGGCCATTTCACTTCAACTCTCTTGAGAGCAGAATGACAGAGGAAGAGGCATCCAGCTTAGGGGGCTTGGCCACTCAAGTTCCCCTCTTCTGTTGCACAGAACCTACGAGGACAGAGAACCCCCTACCCCTACCCCATCCACACACTTGGCCTTGGGATCCCCTATCCTGCTGCAGAGAAGGTGGGTCCTTCCACCTACAAGGACAGAGCAGAAACCGACCCCATCTACACGCTCAGTCTTGGGATCCCTGAAAAGGCAGTATAGCCGATGCACTGTTCTCCCTGTGGTTCCCAGCCTGGAAGGTGGCGGGGAAGAAGCTGCTCCGCCCGCTCTGTCCCGTGCTCAGCATCTAGAGGAGTCACCTCCACAGCCTGCTCCCTGCAACTGAGGAAATACCCCGGTGAACAGGAAAGAAAGGGTCAGAAGCAGATGGAACACAGCTGCACCCCGGATGATGATGGGCAAGCACCTGCTCCACCACACAACACGCCAGGCAGCTCTCCCGGCTGACCGCCCCGCTGTTCCAGTGTCCCGGTGGCTCTCCTGGCTGACCGCCCCGCTGTTCCAGTGTCCCGGTGGCTCTCCTGGCTGACCGCCCCGCTGCTCCAGTGTCCTGGTGGCTCTCCCGGCTGACTGCTCCAGTGTCCCGGTGGCTCTCCTGGCCGACCACCCCACTGCTCCAGTGTCCCGGTGGCTCTGCCGGCCGACTGCTCCAGTGTCCCGGTGGCTCTCCTGGCCGACTGCTCCAGTGTCCCTGTGGCTCTCCCGGCCGACCGCCCCACTGCTCCAGTGTCCTGGCCTTGCACAATTCTAGGATCAAGTCCCATCCTGAAAGCCCTGTCTACACCCAGATTTCAGCTCCCAAGTCTCACTAATTTCTCAGTTGACCATTTAAGGGTGGGGAGCTGCTCTTCCTTAATTTTCAGTTGAGGGTGGCGTCACAGAAAACTGATGGTGAACTCTGTCTCACTTCAGAAAGCTCAGGTTGCCAAGGCCCCCAGCAGAAGGAACAGGTGTGTTCCTCCAGGCCCATGGCTCCTCTCCCCAGGGAAGTCATTCCTGCAGGCCTAACTGCCCACATCTTCTCACGCTCCTCACCACACAGGCTCTGCAGTGAATCTCAGGATGGAGACGGGCCAGACACGAGGAGAAGCTGCTACTGAAACGCAGGTGTTTGGCTTGATTTATATCGAACCTCCAATCAATCAGCAAAGAAAATTTCCAGAAAAGACTAAGAAATCCTAGGTTACGATCATCTCTTAAAACCTAGGAGGTGGGAAGGGCGGCACCACTGAGTCACGTCTACGCCCTGCACTTCTCCCAAACCAAGGTCTGCAAGCTAAATCTCGAGGCTGAGCCCAGGCTCCAGGCCACTTCCTGAGATGCCCTGTGCTCACAGCCTGCTCCTTACGGAGCTGCCAGGCAAGACAGAGTTCCATCCAGCTCTTCACAGGAGGGTTTGCAGGGCCCATCCCCAAAAAAGACATTATTTAATCCTTACGACAACTTATTTTACAGATGAGAATTTGAGGTACCGACAGCATTTACGCTCCTTGCCCAGGACCACAGAACTAAAACACAGGTCTGTCCAGCTCCGAAACCTTGTCCCATGAAAACCACCCCCAGTCTTCCACTCTAAAGCTGGTGCAGTGTCCAGAGTCTACACCCTGGCTTTCTGGGCCTTCCTGGTACATTCACACCCCTGCACATTTTCCCCACTCCATAACCTGCCTGGGAAGTGCCCCTCTCCGAAGGAAGCAGGACTCTACTTCCAGCTTTGCCCTCTCCCAGCCCTCCACCCTGCTTGGTTGACGCCTCCTGGTGCCCACGGCACCCATCACACAGTACAGCTTGTGTGACGTCGTGGATGACTGTTTACCACTTATTTTTAACACACACGCACAGTTGACCCTTAAAACTGGACAACGTCCCATAGAACTGCACCTCGACCCGGCTGTTACAAACTGAAGCCAGTGTGCTCCTGCACGCACTCACACAAGTGCATACACCCACAGACGCCTGTGCCTGACGCGGACAGACCCGCAGATAAGCGACTGGCTGGGAGCACTGAAGACCGAGGCAGACGTGGGAGATCACCTGCCTGTTCAGTGACTGGGGGGCAGGCCGAGGGGAAACTTAGGACAATTTTATCACCGAAGTGCAGAAGACAATGGCTTGATGTGTGTGCTGCCCCAAAGTGCCTGACGCCGCGGCCCCTGAGACCAGGCTCACTCAGCACCCGAAGCTCAGGGCTCACAGGCTCTTGCTACGTTTTCATGGAAAAAGTCCAGTTATTTTTAACTCTGAACTACCTCAGCATCTGGCAGACAGAGCTCCAAAAGATTCCCATCAGACTCACTGCAAGTTTACACGAGCAAACCTTCTAGCAGCGGGGCTTTGACAAGCTGTCCTTTACTCTGAAGCAACCAGTGTTTCCTCTGCGAATACAGTAATAGGTAATAGGCAATACCCCAGTAAGACCAACTCACCAGCAGAACACTGAGACACAGGGAGGATGCTTGTTTCCTTCCCCAAATGGAAGAATTCTTTTTTTCACTTTGATTGCAGTCTGGAGTTTCAGGGCAAAACCCAGTTCTTAGAAAAGCAAGGAAAGGTCTGCCCGGTAAACGCAGGGTTAAAACGACAAGGGGACACCCAGCCCTGTGGCTTGGGGGCCCTTCCACACCAGCCAGTCTGGCCCCATGCAGAGCCAGTGCTATCCGAGAGCCCTGTGGCCCTCAGGGACGAAGGGAATGGGCCATAGAGCTGCTTCCACTGTGGGGCTCAGCTCCGAGCACACAGACCCACTCGGCAGGGATGGTTTCCATGCGAAGTGTCAGGAGATTATTTAATGCTGGAGTGAATGCTGTATATTACAAAGCAATTGTTTCCATGTTCGGAATTCTACAGCCGTCAGGAGCCCTGGTGCTGCTGCTCCCCCGAGCCTACTGCTTTATAAGGAACTGGGAGACCCCGGAAGGCACTGCCCTCTTAGCAAGGCTGAGTTTTTAAAATCTCCGATAGGCTTCTTAGTTCTCCAGCAGAAGCTGTAGGCCGGTAACCACTCCTGCGTGTACCCCTCACCTGCACTGGGGACGGGGGAGGAGGAGCTGGGATGTCCTCTCACCTCAGCAAGCTGAGCACAGCACGGGCCCCCTCAGGCCAGCTAACTAATGTGGGTCTCATTTTTCTCATGGATAAAAAATAGGTAATAGCACCTATATACCTGCTACCACAGATAGAGAGCTCAAACACATGGGATGTGAGGGTCTCAAAGTACTAAGGATGCAAGGAAATCTTTAAAAAATTCAACAAGCACTCATTCAATACCTGTTACACATTCAACCTGTGAGAGACGTCCGAGTCAAGGGGGGACTCATGAACACAGACCTGCTGTGCAGTCTTCAAGGCCACAGGAATCGCCCCTTCGGGGCGGGGGGCAAAGAAGATGCCCCCCGGAAAACCAGGGACTAGGGAGAAACTCAAAATCCCGACCCCTTGAGA